AGCCTGGCAAGAGGACTGGGGATGTACTTCAATTGGTTGAGTGCTAGCCTAGCATGTGAGCAACTCTGGGTTCCATCCCCAGCACCATGTAAATTGGGCATGATGGTGCATGCCTGCATGGTGGAAAGAGTAAGGCCCAAAGTTCAAGGTTAACTTCAGCTACATATCAATTTCAAGGCAAGCCTGGGTTATATAAGACCATATCTAAGAAAGGAGAAGGAGTCTGCTGCCATGACTGGAAAAGGGCTAAAAGCAGAGCTAGGTGGGCCTCTGGGGCCACCTGTCTTTCCCTTCCTCTTCCCTTCTTCATAGAAGAAAAAACTACAGTCAAAATAGAGAAGTGATGGGACTGGAAGTTTTATGATCCAGAAAACCACACCAGGGGATTCCCATCCTTCATCAATCAAGCTCTTTGGGCTGTGCCTGAGTCAGCAGAGCACTTGTTCCCCCAAGAAATCATGTTCCTTGGCACTGTACAAAACTGCACATGGTGGGGACACTAAAGTCCTAGAACTAAGGAGGTGGAGACAGAGAGTTCAAGGTCAACCTGGGATACTTGGGACCCAGGAGAGAGAGGAGGTTTGGGATGGAAGTGAGCTTTGTTCCTCTTCTGAAAAAAATCTGCCCTGTAGCTTTACCCCCAGAGAGACATGGAGAATGGTCCCTAGACAGGATGTGGAGCTGGGACCCCTCTGGGTGGTGGTATGGACATATGCCTGCTCCCATCACCTGTGATCTCCAATGGCTTGAAATACGTCCTTTCTTTTTTTCTTTTTCTTTTTCTTTTCTTTCTTTCTTTTTTTTTTTTTTTCTGACCTTGGGTCCACCCCCAAACAATAGGGAAATCAGACCAAATGTGCCAAGAAAACCTTTTCATCTCTGAAATTCGGACGATTCTTGAGCTTCTGACCCTCCCCAGGGACAGTGCTGTCCATCACAGAATGGAGAAGCTGGAACCTCCAGCAGATGAAAGCGTCAACCATCAAGACATCAAACAGGCGTACTCCGAGGCAGAAGGAGTGACGATATTAATGTGATTAAAGCTGTACACAGACAATCTTTGATTTTCACCCACCTTCATCAGGCTGAGCATTATCTGAGGCCCCAAGAACGTGCTTGAGAGTAGTAGACCGTGGGGCCAGGCCTAGGTGTCCAGGAAGCTGTTTTCTGAGGCTCAGAACCCAAGACTTGGCAGGAGGAAGGATAACTGGTGAGTTTCTGTGCAAGAAGTGGCAAGTGTATGAATTCAACATCTCCTCTAGGTGTGGGTCCCTAGTGATCCATTCCCACCACTCCTGCTAATGCCCCTCTTTGTTTTGGGTCATCGTCTGCTTCCTCTTCAAATCAAAGCTCAGCCCCGGAAAGGATCTAAAATGTCTTTCTCACACAGCCCTCACAACCGTGCTTCCCAGCCCTCCTTGCTCTCAAGAAAACAGACATGTGCGTTCTGGAGGAACACGCCCTGGGACAGGAAACTGAGCACATTAAAGGGCCCACTCCAGGTTAGAAAGTTCTCTTCCTTATTGCAGGTTAAGGTTTTCCATTAGCAGCCATTGATCCAAACCTCTTTCTGTAATGTGTAGAGAAAGAGTAAGAAGGAAAAAAAAAAAAAAAAGCCTTTCATTGTAAAGTTAAATATGCATGATCCCTGAATACACAGCAGGGCCTGTGCGGCTGCCAGTCTGGGCTGGCAGGGCTTGGAATCCTGGAATTGTTCTGTGGTGGCACGGAGCTTAGCGATCATCGGGGTCAACCTCTTTGTTCAGCTGAGAGAGGACTGAACTGCGGCCCATGGTCACATGGCGTTCTGGGATTCAAGCCCCTCTCTGGAATGCTGAGGACAGATGAGGCAAGCCCTTGGAGTTTAGACTGGGTCCCAGACCCCACCCAGGCTCTCCTCGTGAGGCTGAGAAATCAGAAACAACCAAATGCTAATCCGGGATCCTTTACTTCCAGTCTGTGGGACTCTGGGCAACTGACTTAGCCTCTTTGGGCACTTCTTTATCTGCAAAATGGGGAGAATTTGTATCCGATCCTCAGGATTTCAAGATTTAATTAACCTAGCAAATACGTATGAGTGTTCTGAATGCCAAGCACTAAGGAGCAAAGAGAGAAGAACTTAAAGGCTTCTTCAAGGCAGAAACAAGGTTAAAACACACCCATTTCTCCAGGCAGTGATGGCACACTCCTAGGCAGAGGCAGGCAGATGTCTGTGAGCTTGAGGCTAGTCTGATCTACAGAGTGAGTTCCAGGACAGCCAACGCTACACAGGGAAACCCTGTCTAGAAAACAACAGCACAAAACACAACTGTTCAGGAGTTAGTTCTGCTCACACTAGCAGAGGTGCCACATAGGGACCCTGCGTAGGAACCACACCTTTCTCCTACCTCCCTGCTCCAGGGTGAGTTGACTATGGGAGAAGCCCCATTCCAAGGACCCACTGCCCAGGATCCTAAACCATCTGGAAGAAATAGATGGGTCTTTCCGGAATGTCCAGTGACCGCTGTCTCTTTCGTCCTTCTCCACCACACTGTGGAGCCTTGCTAGAACAAAGCCAGATTCCCTCTTCTAGCCTGAGGGCAGCTAGTCTCAGCGCCAACCTGTATACAGGTACAAGGTGTCTATGTCCCTTCCACAGTCGGCGGTCTTTAGGGCTGCAGAGCATTCTCCTATCTGCATGCTGACGCACAGGAAGTGGCCACAGGCTGCAATAATCAGACTAGCACCTTGCATCTTGGTAAGCCCTCAAACTGTCACCACTGTTCCCAGAGAAGACTGGAGCCCAGTGATGCAACGTGATAGCACAGGGTCATACACTCAGCCAACAGCAAAATAAAAAAGTTCAAGCCTGACCAGGCACAGCAACAAACACCTTTGGTCCCAGCCCTCAGGAGACAGAGACAGGCAGATTTCTGTGAGTTTGAGGCCAGCCTGCTCTGTGTAGCTCCAGTACATTCAGTCAGGACTTCGTAGAGAGACCCTGTCTTAACACAAAATTAACACCTGGTGCCATTCAGAGTGCTCACGGCCTCTAGATACGGAGCAGCCCAGGGATGCCAGGCTAGCCACAGGATGCTTATGTAAGAGTGGGCTTCTGACTTTGAATCCTCTGGGCTTTCCACTGCCTCCCAACATCTGCTGGCAATTACAACCCTAGCTTCCCCCCCCCCCCCCCCCCCCCCCCCCCCCACCCAGCCCCCCCCCCCCCCCCCCCCCCCACACACACAGAGGAAAGAGGACTGCTGATAACACTGCCTTGCCATGCTGTTGTCTGAGGAGCCTGCCAGACAGCCTCCCTCCTTGCTCAGGACCGGACACGGGGGTCATGAAGCATCTAGGCCTGATGCTACGTTTTCTGCCCAGGGTGGTGATGGAAGCCGGAAGGCTCTGCTGCAGGAGGGAGTGGGAATGCCCGGATGAAGCACGACCAGGACCTATGGGGTGAAGCCTTGGGTTTACTTCCACTTCAGCCTAAACACTAGCTCTGCTGGGCGAGCCTACAGTCCCTTGGCCGTGGTTTTCTCGTCCGCACACAGGGGTAACAAAACCAACTTTGAAGCCTTGCCGTGAGGGACACAACGTGGGTGTGCAGCAAGCTCACCCAACGGCAGTGCCACCGTTGACTGTGCTCCCTACGGCTCCGGGGGCCCCCTGCCTAGAGACAGACTGATCACGTTGGAAAGGCCTGTTGGACGCAACAGTGAGTCCTTCCTCCTGGCCACTGGTTTTCCACTGCCAACCCAGGCCTGGGCACCGGGGTGGGCCACAAAGCAACAAGAGCTGGGTCCACACAGGCTGTGGGGTGCAGACAGATGGCACCGGAGAGGCCAAGTGGTAGGGTGCTAGTGGGAAAGCTGTGGCAGGCACCTGAAGACCGGAGGAACCAGGGAGGGCTGCCTGGAAGAAATATGGTTGGAGAGCCCAGGAGAGGAAAGTGATGAGGAAAAGCATTCCAACTGGGATGGAGGGGAGGGCAAATGCCTACAGGCAGGGTGGTGTAAATTCCTTTCACAGATCCTGGAATCTAACATCTGGAACTAAGAAACCAGGCTGGAACCACGGGCCCAAGTCTGTCTGGGGCAGTGGGGTAGAGGAAGCATATTGTCACTGCAGCCCCAATACCCCGCTACCTACCGGGCTGTGGCTACAGTTAGGTGGCCTTTGCATCAACCTAGGAGGAAGAAACCATCCCTGCCTCAGGGAGCAAGTGAGCATCCCGGGGTACGCTCAGAGTGCTGGGGTCAGGCCTTCTGCAGTGACAGAGGTGGGGCTTTTCTACAGACAGGGGGAAGCTAGGGAGAGCTGGGCAAGAGGGGAATGTGATTAGACTCGGTTCAGATTTTAGGGTAGAGTAGAGAAAGAGCAGAGTCCCGGGGGAGAGAACAAACAGGGAAACAGACTGTGACACCCACAGTGCCCCCTTTCACAAAGGAGCCCCTAGACCTGACAGCCCGGAACTAGACCCCACCCCAGACACATGACCTCTAGGCTGGTTTGTAAACTTCCCTCCATCCACAACTTTGAGCGCCAGAATTTTCTCAGTGGCTAGGGCCTTGGAAGGATGTCTTAGGAATCTGGAAAATTTACAAATCTATTTAAAATCTCCAAAGTCATCCTGGCCAGACTTAGTCTGAGGCACAAGACTTGGTCCAAGGGACAGGGGCTAGGATCCTGAGGTCCCCTCCCTTGCTCCTGCTACCTCCTCCCCCCCCCCCCCCCCCCCGAACCCCCAAACTTTACTGTGCCTTGGATGTCCTGCTCAATTAGCACCCAGAAAGATCTGGGGTGTCTGAAGAGGTCGGGTAGGCAGCAGAATTGAGGAAGCAGTAGCTACCCATGGGAGGGGTGAAGGGACATCCCTGATATTAAGGGGAGTCCCTGCTGTCCTCCCCTCTGATTTTGTTACGAATCTTCCTCCCCCCCCGCCCCCCGCACAAAGCGGCACAGGCTAGGAAAGGGGGACAAGAGATGGGGTGGGTTTTTCTCCTCCCTGGACTTACCTGCTACAGACGGCTTCTGGTGTGTGTTATCACCCCCTCCAGGAAGTCCTCCTCGCTGTCCTCTGTTATTTTGCTGGCCCCCAAACGGACAGCAGTAGAAGGGCTGGCCTGATTGCGGGAAAGCCGTGGGATAATCACGGGAATGGAGAGGTGCTCGGGGCGACGAGAAGCCCGGCCCCTTCCTCACTCCAAAAGCATCCTCTGAGAGGAGTGGAGCAGCCTGGAGGGGCCGCCCTGGGTCTTGCTGGCAGGCAGGAGGCTGACGACTGGTCTGGGCCCCCCCCTCTGGCTTGGACTCCTCTGTTTGTCTCTCTCTCTCTCTCTCTTTTTCAAAGTTACTCCCAGAGCAATCCTAGGTCTTAGATAGGGCTGCTGGGACTGTGGCCACAGTCAGCCCCAGAGCTCACACCACTGTGGGCTTTACATGCCCCCCCCCCACCACACACACTTTGGGGGAAAGGCTGCAGGGCCGATTCTGATTGGCCAAGCTGGGAGAAGGAGGGAGGGAAGCGGTGGAGGAGGGAGGGTGAACGCGTGTGTCTGTTTTCAATTTCAGGGTTTTTTTTTTTTCCCCTCTCTCTTTCTTTTTTCCCCCAAGTTTCTTGTTTTTCTTCCTCCTTTCCCTCTGCTCCCTCCCTTCACTGACTCGCTCAGGATGTTTAGAAATTCCGCTGCCCACGCCAGCCACTGAGTCACTTTATTAGAGTAGCCTGCTCCATTTGCCTGATGTCTGTCAAATGGAGCCTCCCTTGACCATGGCACCTGGGGTGGGAAAGTGTGCGTGCGTGTGCGTGCCTGTACTTTCTCTGTGCCTCAGTTTCTCCATCTGTAAAGGAAGCACTGATGATTTGTGCAGTGAACTCAGCATTCACTTACTGAACAAGCCCATTGAACATCTGCCCGGTGTAAGGAACTATACCCTGTGCTGGGACTCTGTAGTAAGAGGCCATCTGAGTTGGAGGGATATACCCAGCCAGTAAAGGAGTAGCCAACAGCACACTAAAGAAAGACCCAAGGCTGACAGGGCTTGGTCACTGAGCCTTAAAAACTGCTACTGCTGAATCCTGACTCTTCACTGGGGCCTGGAGCTGTCTCCTTTGCTACCTTCAACTTTGGGTCTGATTCTCATTCATCTCTGCACACAGATGAGTCAGTCATCAAAGGAATGTCTCTCTAAACACTCACTGCAAGATGAAAAACCAGTAAGAAGCTGAGAATGGTGGAGCATGCCTGTGAGCCCAGACAGGCACATTAGAAGACCTGTCTTAGCAATACAAGGAGATCTTTTCTTTCAAAAAAAAAAAAAAAAAAGTATATTCTTAGATCCCAGAAACAGCAAGTCTTACAGGCAGATCACCCCAAGAACCCAAGGATGATGAGAACTGGTGTTCTCAAGCTGTGGCAGCCTCCCAGGAAACAAGCTAGCAAGACTTCGCAGAACCAGACCTGTGATCACTAAGAGCCAGACCACAGGATGCTGGGAGACAGCCTGGTTTAAGCACTCATTCCTCTTGGTCCCTGCCCTGAAAATTTCCCCTCTAGCTCTTGTTAGCACCACAGACAGAGTTTAGGACAGCAGTTCCCATCTCTTCCCAGGGTGATGACCAGACTGAGCTACAAACCCTCCTCTTCCTTCACTATCCTTCACTGCCTAGACTGGACTGTCTAGGCAGCAGTGGTCAAGCCTGGTGTCAGCTCTCTGTATATAGTGTTTTGCCTGCACAAACCCCTGCGGGTCAGAAGGGGGCACCAGATCTCATTATAGATGTCTGTGAGCCACCATGTGGTTGCTGGGAATTGAACTGAAGACCTTTGGAAGAACAGCCAGCCAGTGCTAACCTAACCTCTGAGCCATCTCTCCAGTCCCCCTTTAGCATCTTAAAGCTCCCCTCCCCAGAGGGAGCAGGAAGGGATTACTTGCCCTGTTTCATAGCAAGGAAACTAAGGTACAAGTTCAGTGAGCTTCCCACGCTCACATGGCAACAGCAAAGGTGGGGCTAGGTTGTCTGGAACCACACTGGCAGAGACAGGTACCCTGCCCTGACTTCTACCTAACTCACCCTGCTTAGCTGCTGAGCAAGGTACCACCACAAGGTACCATTGCGCTCCTGTCCTTCTCCCTGCCCTCCTTCCCCAGACCTGGTTCCCTTCCCCTGGCTGACTCTTCTCCGAATTCACCTCTCTGGATCTCTGCTCTTAGCCCTCATAGATCTACTGGGTGTTGTTTCAAAAGGACTTGAAGGCTTAATGGAGCTACCACCCTCCACTCCTGGGGAAGCTGGGTTCCAGGGTTTGGAGAAGGGGTGTCCCAGATCACATACAGCTAAATTCTGCCCTCTTTCCACTCTACCTTCTGTATATCTGTTCCATTCCTCTGCTCTTCCCCAGTCCCACCAAGGTCTCAGATCAGAGGCATCTGATATTCCATTATTTACCTTGCCATCATTTCTTGGTCTCATCCCAATAGCAATTGCCAAGCAGAGGACTGAGAAAGACTTAATGGAAGAAAGGACTCAGACTGGCCCTGGCCATGTTGGGCAACGAATCTCTAGGAGTGCCTGACCCAGGGGTCATGGGGGAGCATGGAAAATGCCAAAGGTCACAGGGTCAAGCTTATATAGGATTTCCTGTGCCAAGGAACCCACCAGAAATTGGCAACTCCCTGGCTTTGAGTCCCAAATCACAAAACAGAGAGAGGTGTGATGGTGATGGGGGGGCATAGCCTCAGAATTTCACTTGACTGTGCTCCTGTGAACCCTCAGACCAATTGTAACAACGAGGATAGCTTCTGGGAAGAGTGTTCACTCCATAGTCCCAAAGGAAGTGAGGACATCTGGCTTTGGACTTTCACAGAGTCACTGAGTGGGTCCCTATCCTAGCTGAGCCTCAGTTTCTCAGCTGGGATCACTGCTGAACAAGGACTTCAGGATGTTCTACCGCAGGTCCTCTCGTGGCTGGACAATGGCTAGGGAAAGGAGGCTGGCAAGCCCTGGGGCAGGGGACAGCTGGGGGCCAAAGATGCAGCATAGAAGGGAGGGGCAGTGGTGGGGGGTCCCCAGGGGAAGCTGGGGGCTGCCGCTTCCAGCCAGCCCAGCAGTCCTCTGGCCCATCTGGAATCACTTAGCTCCTCCACCATTAACCCTTGGTGGGCACGGGAGCTGTTTCTCCTCCCGTGCCACTGATGGGGGACAGGCATGACAGAACTACACAGGGCACCACAGGGCACTTCCTTACGAAGGCCTGGATGGGAACACTAAGCTGTCACAACTTAGATTTGGGACCCAGAGGCTAAAGCTAGGTTCGGATTCCAGCCTCTCTATTCCAAGCTGGAAGGTCCTGAATGAGTCCTTGAGCTGCCTCAGCCTCAGTTTCCTGCCCTAGAAAACAGGTAAGTCAGGGCTGAGTCCTTGGACCGCTGAGACTGATGTCCTCCAGGACAGCGTGGTGCCTGGAAGAGTGACAGTGGGAAAGGATGCCTCCTGTCATCTGAAAGCATTCCATCAGTATGTGGCTCTGCACTGGCCACTTCTTCAGCATTCTGCAGGGATAAGTAGTGCCAGCATCCTGGGGTGGCCCCAGGCCCACTCTGGACACGAGGCAAAGTGTGCATTCACTCACTGCCCACATCCTGGGAGCCAGTTTGGCTATGGTCAAACAGTGAGGAGAGAGCCGCCAAGGGTGAATGATGGGTAGGGCTCAGAGGGGGTCCTAGGCCTTGGGGCATCACGCTTCTCACCCCCTGAGCCTGATAGTATACTCAAGGGGTAAGGACCTGAGCCCTAAGGCTGAAGTTCCAAACCAAACTCAGTTGCTTCTTAGCTGTATGCCTCTCAGAATGCCTTGAGCCATAGGACTTTAAAATAGAGACCTGTGTGCCTGCCTGACATGTTTTGAGAGGCCTGGGTACAAGACTCACACAGGTTTGCTGCACACCTGAGAACAGAACATGAAGGGTACTACAGAGGATAAAGAATCTCAGGTCTTCCCTGAGGCTGATGTCACCAGAGTCCATGATCGCTGTTGGAGGGAGGCCCTCCACCCACTCATTTCACAGCCAACGGAAGGGGTCATGACAGAAGTGGCTCCTGCCAGCCATACGATCCTTCAGTGTGGGCACAGATGCAACAGATGGCAGCAAAGGCTTGGTCTTGACTTTTATCCCCCTCCCCATGTTCTGTCTTGGAGGAAGGGTCCAGGCTGTGTGTCACCCTAACACCTCCCTCACTGTCAGAGCAGGAAGCAGCACTCTGTGGGGTGGACTGAGGGGCTGGGAGGGGAGCCTCCATGAGAGGAGTCCCTGTGGGCCAGCTCAGCCGCACACAGGCAGGGGCCAGAAGCCACCGCAGCTGGCTCTCCCACGCTCCTCGAGCTTCCCTGAAGGCTCCCAGGGCAGGCATGGGGTGTGAGGAAAGCAGCACACATCCCAGACCTTAGCACAGCCATCTTGAATGTCAGAAGGGCACCCTCAAGAGCAGTCCACCGGATGAACCCAGAAAATGGAGGGCTGCACGGGCGGTGCCTGAGCTGCAGTACCCTTGATTCCAGCCTAGCTCTCTTCCCTGCTACACACCATGTGCAGATAGGCAGATCCTCTACCAGTAGGTGAAAAGCCAGAGACTCAGAATAGAAATCACAGCATGTTGACACTGGGAGCAGGTGTAGGGATCAGTGGGGACATGAATCACCTTCCACAGAAATTCTTGGGAATCCTCTTATTGGCCCAGGCTGTAGCCGGGATGGCAGGAGGTTTGGAGTTCAAGACCTGTCCATTCACACTTACCTCAGCCCTCTAGCTGTTCTCCCGCATGCCACCTCAGTGCTCCAGGACCACAGGGTACAGGGTGCCCTCTTAGCACACACAGAAGTTTCTAAGACATACAGCAGCAGGACCCTTGAAGACCATAGTGTTTCTCCCTCATGAGAACACTGGCTCTTAAGGCCCAGAGGGCTATAGAAGCTGCTGGAAGGCACACAACAAGTCTCCCATGGGGCCTCTCACTCCTACTCTCAAGCTGTCCTGTATCTCCCATCATGCATCTGCATAAAGGAAGTTAGTTCACTGAGCACCTACTATGTGACCTGCCTCATCCCCCCAGAGCTCACAAGCAAACACCAGGGAAACAATACATTAACGATACTCAGTTGTGTTTGGTACAATGAAGAGATACAGCAACTACTGGGTCGGGCAGATAAGGGTTCTTGTTTGGGTCTATAGAAGCTCCTCAGGGGAACGCACATTTCCCTTCAGACCTATGGTTGAAAGGCCACACATGAAGCAAGAATGGGAATGAGGTGAGTTTAAAGAAGAGGGAACAGCCTTTGCAAAAAAATCACTGAGGCTAGAAAGACCCGAAATGGCAGATTAGTGAGAGAAGGTCATGGTGATAAGTACAAGGATGGGAGGGAGTTAGGGGCCAGCATGAAGACCTTGAGGGATTATAGGAGCCTGGTTTTATCCTGAGGCCAGTAAGCCTGTGGCTTAAGCATGGATGAGACCAGGTAGCTGAGGTCCAGAGTGGAGGCTGAGGCTGGGCAGGGCTGGGCTTCTGTAAGCTTGTGGGCAACTTACAGAACTTAGAGTTGAAACCTCTAGAGATTCTGTCCAAGCTTAGGCTGAGTCTCCGTGACTACTTTGCTTCTTGGCCTGTGGGTCTGCACATCTTTGGGCACAGGACCCTTCCTGATGAGGACATTCTGTGCTTCCTTTAGGCCCTGGTTCTGGTGTCCCCTTTGATCCCTGGTGTCTGGAGAAGGAGGTTGCATCTCTTTCCCTGTTTCCCAGAAAAATAGTGGCCTCCCTCTGTCAGGAGAGACTGGGCAGTAAGGGACTAACTGCTGCCAAACTCTGGAGCGCCAGCAGGTGGCGATCTCACCTCTACGGGGGCAGAAGGAAAAGTGGAGCGGGTGGAAAGTCCTGTCTGGAAGGCAAAAATTATTCCAGGGAACCCTACTGCCGGCGTGGAAGCACACCTCTGTCTCTGAGAGATGGCCACCCACCCCCCACTTCTGAGATGAAGCAGGGACCCAGAGAAGGGACCTCGTCTGCCCAACGATGCGGAGTAAGGCTGAAGCTTGGCGGGCTCTTGGTCTGTTGTCTAGAGAGAGGCTCCCCAGGCTACGGGCCACAGTGGGTCTGAACTAGCCTGGTGCCAACCGGCGTCTCTTAAGTAAGCCATTCTCAGCAGAAACTGAGCCTCAGACCTTTCTCTTCTAGGGCCATAAACGATGTTATCAGCAAGATCTTTATGAGGCCCTCATCTAGGCACCCCACCCCAGGAGGCCCGAGTGTGAGAGCAGCCTGGAGAGAGAGGGCTTCCACTGGGAAAAGGAAGGAAGGAGGGGCCCAATAAACAGCCACGCCCAGAGATAAGGGGCCTGCCGAAGGAAGAGCCTGTTTCAGGATAGGCAGGGGCTGGACACACTGGTACCAGCCCTGGGGGTACATGTGAGACTGGGGTCCAGATGGCAGGTCAGAGGTGGGAGACACTACAATTTCAGATTGGGGCTTTTTGTTTTGTTTTTGTTTTGTTTTGTTTTTCAAGACAGGGTTTCTCTGTGTAGCCCTGGCTGTCCTGGAACTTGCTCTGTAGACCAGGCTGGCCTGGAACTCACAGAGATCCACCTGCCTCTGCCTCCCTGAGTGCTGGGATCACAGGCATCCACCACCACATCCGGCTTAGATCGGTGCGTTTAAATAAGGTTGTAATGTCTTTTTAATAAAGTTACAGTATCTTTAATTAGGGAACTCAGCCACATCCATGATGCTAAAACCTCTAACCAGGGGGTCCACCGTGAGGTGAGCGTGAAGGGATCCTGGAGGCTCTTTTGCATGAAGAAGCCTGAGGAGGAAGAGGAACCAGCAATTTGTTTAAGCAAAGTCCAGCTAACAAGTTGTCGGGTGGGGAGGCAGACACACACTCAGGGTCAGCCTCTGTGCTTACCAGTCAAACATCTCCAGAGAAAAGAAAAACTGCCAGATAGGTCTCTGACTTGCTGTGTGAACCCACGAAGGTGACTTTACCTCTTTAAACTCAATTGTTAATTTGGGGAAAAAAAAGGGGGGGGGGGGACAACAATGGACTCTATTTCCCTGAGGTGGTGGGGAGGGTGAGTGGGGATGACTCCTGCTTGGAATGAGGCGTCACTCTTAGCACCTGCTCAGTGAGTAGAACTGCCACTGTCACAAACCAGCCTGCCACCTCAGAGAGAGGTGCTGGATACTCAGAACTCGTGAACGCGTGTTGCATCCCAGGAGTGCCTGCAGAGTGGGAGCGATGTCTACCCCTTGAGGGTACAGCATGGAGGACCTCCCTGCAGCAGGCACCCCAGGTTTCTGGTTATCCTGACTCTGCTTTTCCCTGCTAAGGTCCCCTGCTATCCTGACCCACCTTTAAGCCACTACCAAATCCTGGCTCTTTCTCAATCACTCAGGATCCCTGTCCAACTTCCTTCTCTTTGCACAGGGTTTGGAAGGGGTGGGTAGGCTCTCAGACTGGCTTCCTGCTCCCCACTCAAGACTGGGTTATCAGTTCTTTGGAAACACAGGTTCCTTGCCCCTCAGGGCCTCTGTTCATACTGACCCTTGGACTACAGTGCCCTTCCCCACTTACTAGGGCCCCGACCGATGTGTCACCTCCTACAAGAATTCTTTTTTTTTCTTTCCTTCTTCTTTTCTTTTTCTTCTTCCTTCTTCTTCTTTTTCTTCTTCTTCTGACAGGGTTTCTCTGTGTGTAGCCTCGGCTATCCTAGCCTCAAACTCACAGAGATCCTCCTGTTTCCCAAGTGCACCACCACCACCACTACCCGGCACCTCAAGAATTCTTTAGCTTGGTCCCTGTGGAGATTTAACTCACAATTGGACCCCAGCACTGAAGGCACCCTAAGGCAGGACCTCATTCCATACTGAACATGGTGCCAACACAGGTGTGTGGCTCAGCCTGTACATGTCAAATGGATGAATACACACACAAATGAATTTCTGATCCCAAACGGCAAGCCCCTTGACTAGTTGACTAGGCAAAACCCAGCATTCCTGGGATTGGAGTCCACCACTCCCCTGCCCTCCTCAAAATGACATCTCTCACCAGGGTGGCCAGCAGTCCCTTGCACCCCTTCCTTAATGGTGAGTGTGTTCTCTGCAACCCCAGGTAGGTTAGACCCCAGGCCTGCAGCTTTCTCTCAGGTCCCTCTCTGCCAGGTCTTCATGTCTCACAGTAGGAACAGGCCTCGCTACCCTAGCAGAGAGAGTTCCGCTCTCCTGAGTTTTATCTTTCACCTCTGCGTATCTCCTGGTTGGGCCCTCAGTGGAGCCCAGAACTCCAGCTATCTTCCGACCTGGGGTTGCAGTGGCCTCCCCTGCTGAGACAGCTATGTGCTCCATTGTGTCACACACTCATCTGTGTTGGTGACAATTAGCTACCTTCCACTCTCCTATAAGCAACCTTCATGAAGCCCTTTCCTCCCTGGGCCTCCCTGCTTCCATCCATTCATTCAGTGGGCAATTTCCCTTGAGCAGGAAGGGGACCAATAGGGTTACTGCCCTGTGTAAGTGTGACTCTGATAAAGGACACCCTTGCGGGGCAGCCACACAGAGAGTTCAGCTTTAAAGATCTAGGCTGGATTCCACCACCCTGAAATTCCAGGTCATTTTTTTGAACAACAGACCTGGCATTTTCATTTTGCACTGCAACCTCCAGCAAGTTACAGCCTGACCTTGACTCACCTGCCTGCCTTGAGGTGGTACTGACTGGCCCTGTAAAGAGAAAGAAAGTCTTAACAGCTAAGACCTGGTTCCACCTTCCTTTGAGGGCTCACACGTCCTGCGCATTTCGGGACCCTAGAACATGAGAGAAGGAAGATCAAATCTCAGGGGACTCATCTCAGTCCCCTCCCTGGCCCAGAGCACCATGTGGAGGGGCCCTCACGTACTCTAGACTTCCCGAATTCCTCCCCAGTTCCTCAGCTGTGCTCCCACTCCCTCCCCAATCCCCTTTCCTGTTCAGGTAGCTTTGGAGTGCCTGCCTCTCTTCAATGCAGCAGGAAAGAACACACAGGCATTTATGGGGGAGGGGGCACCATCCATAAAAAGTGAGGGCTCATGAAGCCAACTGCAAAATCACATTCTCTCTCTCTCTCTCTCTTGTTTGTCAATCTATTGGAGTACATTGTGTATTAACTGCATTAGATAATAAATAATCTGGAATTTGTCCGTGTTATTTTGGAGACTCGGGCTGACACGTGTAGGGGTAAAAATGACACGGAAGCCTGGAATTTGTTTCCAAATGCTTTAGGGAAAAGTCAGTAGATGAAAAAAAGGTGACAGAAACCTGATAATTACGGAAGCTGCATGGTGGGTTGCTGCTTGGTGGATTCATGATGCAACTCCCGCTTTTGTGTATGTTTGAATACACCCCAGCCATGGTAATGAAAATTAAGGCGCCATCAAGAGTTTGTGAAGTTTCCCAAGGTGTCCCCAGAAGACCCCCCTGGTCCACACCTTTGAGAAATTTCTCTGGGGAGCCAACAAGGGAAACAGTAGCATGCAGACTGGCTATCTACATATGCACATTTCCCACAGCTTTCATCTGAGATCCGAGGGGTCGTGACCCTTACCCCTTCAACACCCCCCCACCGCAAGACGCCCTCTACCTTACAGACGGAACCCCGTTTGAAGTCAGCCTTGCTCCCCCCTCACCTCAAGCTGGTGGTCACTGCTGACAGCGCCCCTTGCTCTCTGTGCTGTGTGAGGCTGGCCTAGGGTCCCCCTGCGCCCCTCCCCGCCCCCAGGAAGCTAGTTCCTCCACCTGTAACCCGGGGTCGGTGGTAGGGAGGTCCACGCGACCACCGAAGGAGGAGTTCCTGGACCTTCATCCAGGCCGCGCTCTCTGGGTCCCCAGCCCTCTGGCCCATCCACCTCCCGCTTAGGGCGGCAATTTGTCTCCTTTTGAACCCCCTCGCCCGACGGGCTTCCCCCTTTGATTCGCGGCCCCGAGGCTTCCCCCCGCTTTGAAATGCAAAGCCGCCCGGCTGGGGCCGCGGACTGCCCGCGGCTATAAAAGGCCGGGGTGGGGCAGGCGCGGCGGCGGCCGCGGGTCCAGGTGAGCAGTCGCTGGTCGTCGGGGCGGCCGGCCGGCGCGTCGGCTCCAGGGCCCAGCATGCGCGGGGGACCCTGCGGTCACCATGTACGTGGGCTATGTGCTGGACAAGGACTCCCCCGTGTACCCGGGCCCCGCCAGACCCTCCGGCCTCGGCCTGGGCCCTCCTGCCTACGCTCCCCCCGGCCCAGCGCCCGCACCCCCGCAGTACCCCGACTTCGCGGGTTACACGCACGTGGAGCCGGCGCCCGCGCCCCCTCCGACCTGGGGGCCCTTTCCCGCGCCCAAGGACGACTGGGCAGCTGCCTATGGCCCGGGCCCCGCGGCCCCAGCTGCCAGTCCGGCCCCGCTGGCCTTCGGGCCCCCTCCGGACTTTAGCCCGGTGCCCGCGCCGCCAGGGCCTGGTCCCAGTATCCTGGCGCAGTCCCTCGGAGGCCCGGGGCCACCGTCCTCGCCAGGATCGCAAAGGAGGACACCCTACGAATGGATGCGGCGCAGCGTGGCTGCTGCAGGCGGCGGTAGCAGCGGTAAGGACCCTTCTCCTGCTTGAGCCTCCAGACGGGCTCCTGGCCCTGGCAGGTGCCTGGCGAGGCCCAGGCCACCCTCTCTTTGACCTCTGCCCTGGCCCTGATTGGCTTCTCAAGAGCGTAGCCCACGACCACTCTTGCCCTGGAGACTCATTTTGTTTTGCTCGTCTTTATCTCTGTGTTATCTCTGGGCTTTGAGAGCTTTGAGTAACCCAACTGAGCCTTTGCCTATAGCTGGGAAAACTGCTATCCCGCAGAGGGACATGGGTCTGTGTAAGTGGCAAGGCCGAAATGCGAAGGCCCGACGCCAGCTCTCCGCAGCAGCACTGGCACTGGTGATCTCCGGAGCTTTTTCCAGGCCTAACTCTGCCACACACACCCAAACACCTATCTGTTGCGGGAACGCCGATCTCCTTCCTCTCCGGGGACCAACTGGCTCCCCATCCTAGAGTGAAGAGATTGGATCCTACCCTTTGGTTGACAATGTCCCCTTTGGTTGCATTGGCATAGGGGTCCCTACCTAACCTCCCCAGGACTCTCCCTGAACTCTTGACCCCGGGGGAGGGGCAGTAGAAGCAGTTGGGAAGGTGGCTGCTGTTTGGTTCCTTAGCCTGTGAAGCTCCTGCCCCCGGGCAGGCCTCTCTGATCCACCCTCTTCAAAGGCAGGGGAGGGGGTCTGGACAAAGGCCTAGCTTAATGACGACAGCCTGACCTTTATGGGTCCCCCCTTTGTCATGTAACTGCTTTTGCTTTAGCTCAGTAGTGACTCCTGTTGGCAGGAAAGTGAACAGGGTACCTCATTGTCCGGCTTGTGTTTGGCCCTGTCCTGACAAAGGCCACCTGGCCTTGAGGGCGGGAAGCTGGCCTGCCCACTCTTTGATGTCCAGCCCCTCCTTCCCTTCCCCCAGCTGGGAGCCGGCCTGGGACTTCCTCCACCTCCTCTCCCTTCCCTCCACTTCTCCCACACACCCATCTAGTCCCCTGGGCAGCTGCTGGGAGGGTTTGATCAGTAGCTGCAGGCCTCGGTTGTAGTCCCACCCCTCCTTAGAAGTGCAAGGGACACAGGAGCGCCTGTCTGTCTCCAGGGGTACTAGAGGGGTAAGGCTTGGCCACTCACTCCTGTGCCTTGAGTAATAGCAGCTACTAATGTGGAACTCTTATATAACATACTGCTGTGGGTGCTGTCTTCTTCCTGTTTGGAAGGCGATGAAACTATGGGACAAAAATGGTAAATGCTGGCCCAAGGCCACAGCCAGGAACTGGTGGGGCATATGGAACACCATACCTGTATTCTAATCCCATACCTGTATTCTAATCCCTGGATGAGTCACCCTTTCTAGGTCTCTGTTTTATGGTCAATGAAATAAGGAACAGGGGCCGGTTACATGGGGATTTGTATCCAGCTTCAAGCTACAGAAGTCTTGAAAAAGCTGATGGAGAAGAAAATGTTTCATCCTTTGGTATGTGTGTGTGTGATGGCTCTGGAGCCTTCTGCATAAAGGAAGGGAAAAAGCTTTCAATCGGATGACAAGAGAGGACATATAGGGGCCTTGCCTCCCCCCTCCCCCAGCAGCCTTCATTCTTCCAGTAGCTGCTTCCTGTCGGTCAGATGGCTCTGGAGAGGGGTGAGGAGGTTCCCCTCAGATTGAGCCTTGGAGAAAGGCCATCACTGTGAAACTCTACAAGCAGAAAGGAGTGGGCAAGTGGGGTAGTAGTCAAAGGAATGGACATTCTGACATTTGAGCTCACTCAAACCTCATTTACCTCTGAGCATGAACTTCCAAGCCCAGCTGCACTGTGGGTCACCTGTCAGGTATAGTTTTCTGCAGCCATCTGGGGCCATGCCTGTCCAAAGGCAAAAGAGGTTTTCTCCTGGCTTCAAGAGTAGAGGGCAGGACTGCAGGCTTGAGTTCCCAGGCTTCAGGAAGGGGTTTCTCAGGAACCAGATTAGACAAATTAGGCTGAGCGTACAGGAGTCTGGGCCTTCCAGTCATGTGATTCTCACTAGTGCTCCTGAAGTAGGGCACAGTGGGACCCGGGGGAAGGGTATAGACTCTCCCCAAGTGAAAAGCCCTCCCCATCCTCTCTTTGGTTCAGTTTCTCCTTCTGGGCACTGAAGGCACAGGTTTCCAGAGGTGGCTCTTGTGCAATGTCTGTGGCAGCGGAGGGCAGTTCACAGCACCCCACCCACCCTCCAGTGCCCAGTGACACTGGCCATAATGTGTTCAGCCTTTCTTCGCTCTTTTGAGCACCTGACGGCCTAGAATGTCTGCATTAAAGAGCAGAGACACTGATGAGGAGAGTGAGGTCCAGAGGCCATAAGGAAGGTTCCAGATACAGATGAGTCAGCTTAAATTTTTTAAAAAGATTTATTTGTTTTATTTATGTATACTAGCACTCTGTCTTCATGCACACCAGAAGAGGGCATCAGATCCCATTACAGATGGTTGTGAGCCACATGTGGTTGCTGGGAATTGGACTCTGGGCGAGTAACCAGTGCTCTTAACTGATGAGCCATCACTTTAACCCCACTTTAGTTTAAAAAAATGTTTATGTGGTTTCCAATGTTATTTAGGATGACCAGCACAGTCCTTTCTCAGGTCTCTAAGAGTCTATAGCTCCAATGCTTGGTTCCCACCCACCTCTGGACCTCACCCCAGGCCACTCCCTTTGGCCACTATGCTCCAGCACCCAACCCTCTTTTAAGGCCTCAGGCCCACCAAGTCTTGTTTCAGGTCCTGTGAACAAGTTTGGTTTTTTTTTGTTGTTGTTGTTCTGTTTTGTCCTTTCTTTTTCTTTTTCTCTTCCCTCTGACTCTTTGCATGCCTGGCTCCTTCTCACCTTCAGACCATAGATAAATGAGAGGTCCTCTGTGATTCCCAAATTAGACTACCCTCCTCCACTCCCTTTGATGATTTCTCCTGGGTGTCCTTTAGAAATCCAGCTTGTTCTCTCACTGCATGCTATCTGCTCCCAAAAGGTCCAGAGCCATGTCTGTCTGACCTAAAGTTGCTTGGGTATCCAGCTCCACGCCTGGCATCAAGTATGTGCTCAATGCATTCAGTTGGCTGCATGAACCAGAAAAGTGGAGGGGCAGGAGACATTTCAGGAAACAACCAGGGGAGGGGTGGCATCTCAGCTTCCACAGATTTCTAGAGCCCCTCCCTAGGGATTGGACCCATGACTGTCCGGGCAGCATTTCAGGCTAGTAGTCGAAGACTGGATGCCCTCCCACACTTGGTCAGTGCTCCTGAATCTAAGCAATGGGAGCAGCCAAGGCTAGACTGTGATTTGATTTGGTTTTATCCTAAGATCGGGTGCTGGACGAAGGAGTGGAGGGGTGAGTTTCAATTAGGCTGCAGTCCAGGAACAAAGGATTAGCCAGTTCTGAGAGAGCCATGTCACTTCTGAAGCCAGGGTGCAAACGATTATTACAAGGGGCTCTATTGTCTGTCTTGCCACTTGTTTAAATATGAGTCTTCCTGTCAGGATGCTATAATTGTCCTTCATCAGAGGCTCAGTCTGTCTTCTTGTGACTGAAAACTGACTTACAGATGTCAACAACGATGGGTCATTGTACTGGGGTTTAGAAATTGTCTAATCCCCTCAGCTTCATATGGGAAATGAGACACAGGAAAGGATGAACATGTTTCTCCCTGTCCCATACCCCGTAGCCACAGCCACTAACCTGGACTCTCACTTCTGACCTTTCATGAATGCTCCACCCATCTTCTAAACCACTGCCAGGCTTCCCTTATTAGGACACATCACTGCTCAAGAGCAACCCGGGTTCCCATTTCTGGTTTTTCCATTTCTGTGGCATCTACAGGCCAACTCAGTGCTGAAGACACTCTCCCAATAGTTTGCTTAGAAGCCCAGGGACTTATTGGATACTATTAGATGTTGAGCCTTGGGAGATTTAGCTCTGGAAATGCAATTCTCTTAGATGCCATGTAGCCAGGGGCACATTAAACAGCGTCATTTCTTTTTTCTTTCTCCTTATTCATCATCATCATCATCATCATCATCATGATTTTGTGAGACAGAATAGCCCTGGCTGTCCTGAAACTCACTCTAGAGACCAGGCTGGCCTCAAACTCAGAGATCTTCTGCCTCTGCCTCCATAATGCTGGGGTTAAAGACATGTGCCACCACTACCCAACCTTTTAGTTATTTTTGTTGTGGTGGTTTTAAAGAATTTCATTGGTATAGGAAGCTGTACACCACTGCATGTGTCGAGTTCAGAGTACAACTGTGTAGAGTCGGTTCTTTCCTTCCACCTTTTTGTAGGCTCCAGGAATCAAACTCAGACCATCAGACTTGGGTAGCAAATGCTTTTACCCGCTAAGCCTTTTCACTGGCACCTAACTTGGATAATTTCTCAAAGCCATGGTACCTGTAAAGCACAGCCCAGCACCATGCAGGTACCCAATGCTCAGTGACACTTCTTGGCAGGTGTGAACTAACCTAAGCTCATATTTTCTGCATGTTCATCCTGGGCCCCTTATCTGTCCTGACTTCTTCCCTCTACTGCATCTTTACCAGTGCAAGTGCTGCTCCTTCTCCAAGGATGCCTCCTCCAGGAACCAGCCCTCCACTCCCCAATTCTCCCCACTCCAAGTTCTGTCCTTGGAGTGAAGGACAATTATAGCCTACAGACAGCCCCTTGTTTTAGCAATCTCTGTCATTATCTGCTTCGATCAAGTTGCTTATTCTTGCCACTTGCCAACTGTAATCCCAAGAGCCAGTCCTAATCAACCTCCCTCGTGCCCTGGCTTGCACATAGTAGGGGTTCATCATGTAGGCACTGTGTGAAGCGCTCCTTTTGGGCTACTTTACTGAGGTCTCAGAACTACCCCACACATTGAACACACAGTACAGATAAAATTGAAGAGGCTTGGGGAGGCCATGTGGCCTATCTAAGCTCACACGACAAGGGTATGGTGACATACAGGTCCAACCAGGATCCATAGCCTGCCCAGGGTTTGTCAAACAGTAAC